CATAAACCTCTCCGCGAGCGGGAAGCTGTATACCTGACAGCCAAATATTTTATTACCCGCGGAAGTTACAGCTCGCCTCCTCCTTCACTGGCCACTGTGACCCCTTAAGGCGCGGTCAGACTTGCTTGACAGCCGCGGCAATATGTAACATGAACTTGTAACGTGTTCTCTCGCGAGGAATTCCGCACAGAACGATTCCCTCTCAACCCTTTGCCTTTTCGCGAACTCGTGCGCGAAATTCCAAGTCCCTTTAAACGTGTGCTCGGTACGCGTGTAGAATAAATAAAAAGAAATCGAAGGTAGTAACGGGGTAAATAACTATAATTCTCGTCGACTTGTTGGGATAATAGAAGTCGGCTTGTCAGGGTTTTATGTAACATGCAATAAGCAAACTTGGGTGTTTGCTTTAATGTAAGGGTGGAAACGTCGGATCGGGGAATTTTTCTTTGGATTGCTGCATAGGGGGGAAAAGAGCGTGCCTGTATATACATCATTCGCATCCTGGGGCGGAATCGGACCTCTATTCTTCCTCTCTTCGAACCAACAGCGTTGGCAGTGTATTCAACGTGGAATATATAGATATTTTTCTCGTTGATTTGCAAAAGATTGGTATTTGTATATAGTTAGAAGTGAGAGGGTTGGAGCAAATATTCTTTCAGCTTTCTGCCCGGTGAGCGTGGAGTTTGGTATTCGCTATTTTTCACACTAGCGATTGCGACGGGGGGTTTTGTGAGGGAGGATTTTAAATTGCGTGGAAATTCGGGGAGGTGTTTTGTTGGACACTGGTGTTATCGATCGATATTATGAAATTTGAAAGCTTGAAAATTGGAAAATTTGACACTCTGAAAATTTGGAAATTTGGGAATTTGAAACTTCGAAAATTTGGAAATTTGAAAGTTTGAAAATTGGAAAGATTGAAAATTTGAAAAATCCAGATCTTCAGTAACCTCCAAACCTTCCCTCCCTTCGTCCACAATTCCCACCCCCTCCTACCTCGCATCACGAAAAATCCCACACCGCCAATTACCTTCCCCCTCCCCAAAAAAATAACAATGCTTACTATTTAGTCCAGCAACAAAACACAGCCAATCGAACTCCCTGAAACTCCACATCCTGCGTCCTTCGCAACCCTACTATCCCAAGTAACTCCGTCTACAGACGAGAACACAGTCATTGGCTACCGTGAAACGAAGCGTGCAAAGAGCGTACCACCACGCTTTCTTCATCAGGAACATTCAATTTGAATACACAGATGCTCACACGGACACGCGAGGAGAACACGTAAAACGAAAAGGAAGGAGTCGTTGCGCGCGAGTAACCGTTGGGGCTCTCCTTCGCGTAACAAGACACTGCAAAGTAGGAGAGTACATATTGATCTTCCATTTCCTGCGGCTGGAACCAAGGGGCCCCTGCGTCTTCGTGGATCGCGATATTCGCCGTACCGTATCCTCCCACGTTGTTCGCCGAACGATGACGACGGCCAGCCTCGACGACTCTTAACGGAGTCCCACGAGGCAGCGATTACACGAATCGGTGATTCATAATCGTCGTTCGAGCTTCCTTCCTGAATGCAATCACGGCCACGGGGCCGTCGTCCGTGGAGAAAAAGGAGAAGAAAGTCTCGAGGAGCTCGACTTCCGTCGTCCTCGGGCTTCTTGGTTCCTCGCCATTCAACGCCGGTACTCGACGGGCTGAGGAAAGTTTTAAGTCTGTGGGGTAATTGATAAGCAGATTAATTTTTATTCCATTTACTTTTTTCTAAAGCTGGCGGAATTGATTGCGCAGAGGGGATTTCACGTGAGAGAAATTGCAAGTGAATATCGAGCCACTTTCTGCTATTTAAACTTGTCTTAAGGTGTTTCGTTGTTTGTTAATCTCTCGTTTGTTCATTTAGAATGATAAATTCGTAGAATTAGTACAATTAATAAATTTCTACCCTCACTTTCGCTATTTTTAAATGAACAAAAGTTGCATTCAGAATGTAGGACAAACATACATTTCGATGATCCTACTTTTCATCACGGCTCGTGGATAGAAAAACTAGCGGTTGCACGGTGTCAACGATTTTCCGCCCGTTCATCTGCCTTCGTATTCGCCTGGACCGCAAAGGCGGCCGTATCTCATGCAGATACACCTAGAATTAACATCTGGGACGTCGAAACAATGCGAGCCTCGGGCCATTCAGACAATAAGACACCTGTATCGGAGCGTCTCATGCCTCGCCGATGCCAATTCCTCTTCTCTCCTGGAACGAAATCGATAGCGGTAGGCATCATTACTCGCGCATTCATCGCTAATGAACGCAATTTGTATTCTAACGCGTCCCTTCAAAGATCGTCGTGACGCGGTTTCATTGGCCGTATTTTCCATCGTGAAACCGGCCGGGAACGATGAATATAAGATTTTTCATGCGACGCCGACGTACCGATACACCCCGCAAAAGGAGCGTGTTCGAACCTTTTATAAAGTCTCGAGGGTACAAGGCAACTTTCAAGGCCTTTCATTTGATACGGTACGTATATGGAACATAGGGAACGGCGTTGCTTGAAAATATCCAGCCGTTATAAACTACCGAGGATGATAAAACTCCTCTTCTTCGTGGCCACTTCGGGATTTATTGGCAGAGAATAATTGATCCTCACGCGGAGGTTTTCGCAGACGTGTTCCTCCTTGGTGTGGTTTCTCGCTTTTGTCAGGGCCTACAAAAGGTGGTCGCCTAGCTTCTTTTTGCTCGCGCTTTGTGCCAACGGTAATGGTGTCTGAGGACAGCGCGAGGGGAATAGCTCGAAGGAATATGGAAGGACAGGATATAATTCTTACGTGAGATATTCGACTACTTCAACACGGTGATAAAAGGAGGAAGAAACGGGTATGAGAAGCAAATCAATATGGAGATTGAACAAGGTTCTCCTTTCTCTACGTGAAACTGGTATACAATTTTCCCTCATGGAACAGTTGAATCAAGCGATTAACTCTTTTGCTAATTTGTTCAATTTAGAGTATTAATATAAATACGGTAATTAACGCTACGTTACCTATCATAAATAATAAAATTAATTTGCTTTAGAACTTCATTTTAATAAATTACAATATTTAACGATAACACACGAGATAAGTGGTTGGTTTAGACTAGACGATGGTAATAGGTAAACTATAATTTAGGTAGCTTAAATAGCAAATAGGTTGAAGTTTTTATGTAGAGGGTGTCGGGCGGGTGGATTGCGCGAAGCCTCGGTGATATTCCAAGTGCAGCTTCATAGGTCGCGGTCGGCATCAAGGATGGGTGACCGCCAGGTCGAAAAAAAAAATTCCGATTTAATTTCTCCTGGGGCGGGGGAAGGGGGGGTTTAATATAATAAGTAATAAAATTACAAATATTAATTAAACTTCAACCGACCAAATGACATCTCCTTCAGGGTTCGAAGCGATCGGTAAACCGATACATCGACTACCATCGTAGCAACCCTCGTTAAACCAGCGATTCATCATTCGTCGAGGAGTCTTTAAGGGCGATTAGGCGGTACGTCGACGAGCAAAAGGGTCAACGAGGCTGTCCTACGTCAAAACGAATGGGAAACCTGTCTTCCTCCGTTGCCATCCGTGTTTCCTCCACCCTTCGTGGCCAAACTTGGTTAACCCGTTTGGGTAACTGGAGCAGCCGTTTTTTTTCTCCTCTCCTTTTCGTCGAAGGGAGAGGCACCACGTGCCCTCAAGGCTCGTTTCCACGAGGAGAAGAGAAGCTTGTCTCTGTTAAACGTATACACGCGACTTAGGAACTTGCACAGAGAGGGTAGGAGAATCTCTTAGACTCCACTAGGTGCAATCTTGGATCCAAATTGAGCCGCACTTTCGACGAGGCGACACACGCCCTTTGATTAAACCGAGTGTATTATTGACGAGGAGTTGTCTCGACGTTCGACATCGCGAAACTTCTCCACTTGTGTTTTTGGGACCTCGAGGAGTGCAGGAACCGCTGTTCGGAGAAGTTCGCCGCGAATTTAAACGTCTGCGCGCAGAGTCAGCTACCGAGGGGGCTAGAGACTGCTGCCCCTTGTTCGACGTTCTGAGAATTTGCGGAACGGTTAAATTGCAGCCTTCCCCGGAATTGAATTGAGAAAGTTGGACTCATGTGCTCTGGTAGATACGGTGCCTTGATGTGTTCGGAGTTTCTCGAGGCGAGGTGTGGAGTTTTTGGGGAGGATCTTCGAAGTGGGTCAAGTTGGAGTATTAAACTGAACGTTCGAGATGAAGAAATTGGATTCGTGTTTTGGAGGATGACAGTGTCTAGGATGTAGTTGGGCTTTTCTGTCGAATGTTAGAACTAGGTCAACTTGGAATGTCCAAGAATATATATATTTTGATCAGTCGGTCATTTTCTACTTCAATATTGAAGATGAAGAATACTCTTGTCTCTCTGATGAAAGTTTGGTTTATGATAGTCATTACAGATCGCTGATGAATGGAACGTGTTAAGATTTTAGTAGGACAGAAAGTACCTGTAATGGTGCAGACAGGAGAAATCAAAATTTATTGCTCGGGGTTAGTGGAATTTCTCTTTTCTTGGGCTTAATGAGCAAAGGAATGCACGATCAGAATTACCGCAATTTACTTGGCCTCGTTCAACAGCCACCACTTCAGGTACATCGATCAGTTACTCGATAATACTTCAGCCCTTTTAGTAAGCAAGATTCAGACATACAGTACTTCTGTAATATATTTTTTATCAAACACATGTAGTACTTGTGAGCAAGTGTTTCTAATCGCATGGAAGGGTTAATAATTTCAAATCAAAATTCTTCATTCTCTGCAAATAACTTGGACAAAACTAATGATTTTCTCTTCTTTCAAATTTTCTATTTTACACAATTACACCTTCGTTACACGCCCGCAAATAAATTATTATCGTCACCACGATTTTACAATTATTCTTAATCTATCTGCACTTCATACGACAAACATTCGCGCTAAAAGAATTACTTCATTTTTGCTTTCAGGTACGTACCAGCCACAGCAGAACTACCAACCCTACTCTGGTGTCTCGAGCGTGCATTAACGTGAGTAGATCAAAGCGCGGAAAATATTCATACAACCGTTCCCCGCGAGATAGGCAGGGCGTCGTCTTTTTCTTCTTTTCCCCCTTTTTTTTCCTCTCGATAATGAAACGACGAAGACGTGGTGGCATGATTGTTTCCCACGCGCGAGCGTAATCCCAGAGGGAGCGTTTCCCCGCGGTGGATGAAATTTCAATTTTCGGCGGGAATTTCCACGAAATCTGCATAACTCGAGGATCCGCGCGGACGACACGAAAGGGAGAGGAAAGTGTCGGAACCGAAGGAAGCCGTAAATCTTTTAAGTCTCGACCATTTTTGCGCGAAACGCCGGAATAAAAAGGCTTCTCCGCCGCGCGTGAATCCAAAGGAGAGAAACTTTTCCACCTCGAGATCCTCCAGACGGACGCTTTTTTCGCAGGAAATTTTTTCGAGACGAGATAGAGGAATTTCGGGAGGATGAAGAGTTTGGTGGAAGTTGAAGTGAAAAATGTGTGAACTTTCGCACTGA